AAGAAAGGGCAAGCACACTTGACTAATTTACAGCCAAAATGGCTCAGAAAAAAATGTCCAGCATTTGGTTGCAGATTCCACTTGGTTTGATATTTTTGTCATCTAATGCAATGATAGATATTTTGAAGTATCTAAAAACTTTGGCACCACTTTACTGTACATGTGAACTGCAGCTGTTCTGGATTGCTTCTTTATCATGTCACTTTTTCACTGAAGATTATCAATGGCACTCCTGACATCATACACCAATTTTTACATTCTTTGATTAAGCCAAACCAATGAAAACCTCTTACAAATCTGTGTGTGTTTGACATTTTCTGCTGCCTTGAACGAATACATGAAACCTTAAACGACCTGCCTCATTTTCTCACTAGTGGGCAACAGTTTTCCCGCCTCAAAGGATTGGAGGTGGGCAACTGGAGCGGGCTCATTAGTTTCCCCGATGACGGAGGGATGAAGCTGGCCAGAAATGGGAGGAAAAGGTACAAACCAGCACAGCAATCTCTCAACAACACCACCAACACTCTAGAGAGACAGTGAGAGAGAATGCCACATAGACAATGATCAGCCGCATGCATGTCTGGACAGGAGACACATCCAATCCCATCAGCCAATCAGACGAGCAGAAATAAGCAGCTGTGGCAACTACAATTTATCAGAGCCAATCAGAGGACCAGGACTGATTAGAGTTTCACTTGTAGATTTCCACACAGCAATGATCGCTTCAGGAAGTATTTTTCCCATTCGTTTTCTCCAAAACCACCCGATTTGAAATGAAACTTTGATTTGAAACAAACAGTTTTGAAACAAGTTATGAGAAAAAAGGTATAAGTGTGTGGTTTTGTTCACAATGGAATACTAGCTTATTGCATACTGTACAATATACAGTGGGTACGGAAAGTATTCAGACCCCCTTCAATTTTTCACTCTTATACTAGCAATTTTTTGTGAAAAGTAGTAAGTGAAATCATTTGTATGTCATGCACTGCAAAAAAATTATATGTTTGTATTGTTTTACAGTACAAATATCTAAGCATTCTTAAATCAAGATACATTTACTTGAGATGTACGACGGGGAGGTTATGCTTAAAACAAGAACAAATAATATTGAAATATCTACGATAATATACGAAAAATAATATAGTTCTCTCTTTGAGTTCAGTTTATTTTTCTAACACCACTGGCAGATATTTTTTCGTTTCTACATATTGTGGTTATTTTGCATTTTGATCAAATTTTGTGACATTTTCCCATGCTGTTTGCTTTATTGTATAGGCAGGGCATGTTATATGCATGTCGAAATAGTAAGATTAGTATGCTTTTCTGAACAAAGCCACTGAACTTAATTGGAAATGGACTACTTGCTCTATAAAGCATCGCAAATTATAAATGAATCAGATTATGGTACGTTATAAGCATATAAGTATAAGAAAATTCTATATATTTGAAGTTTATTGCAACATTAAAATATATAAACATTATATTTACTATACATTATGATTAAAAATAATATAATATTAATATAATTGACATTTTAATTGCATTGTTACTTGTACATGTTGCATTGTATACTTGAAGTTTATTGCAACATTCAAATATGTAAAAATTATATTTATTAAACATGAAATATTAAACAAATAATAATATATTATTATTGATGTAATCTGCATTTAAATTGCACATTATATGTATGCCGGAATAGTATGATTAGGGTTAGTGTTCGTATTCTGTTTTGAACAAAGCCACAAATGAGAATGAACTGTTTATCCCATAATAAAGCATCGTAAATGATGTAGTTGAATCAGATTATGGTACAATGTAAACCAATTGATACTGTAAAATGTAAATGTAAACTATTGATTTGAGGTAGAAAGTACTATATATTCGAATTTCAAAGTACATTCAAATATGTAAAAAATTATATTTATTAAATTATTCCTGATGCAAATAATATAATATTATTGTTTATATAATATATGATGATACGCACACAAAACGTTATATTTACTAAACTTTATATTTATGAAATAATTAAACATTCATATATTAATATGTTATGAAATAATAATATATTATCTATATCATATTTATATTTAAATGCTTTTTTTTCTATGGAGGAAACGAATGGGATTTTTACATTTGGGGAGCCCTGCTCTTGTGCTCTTTTGTGGTTGTCAGTACTGGGACAGGAACTGAAGGGTCATTGAACTCTAAACCTAATCCACTTGTATGCATCTTGACAGATGTGTCCGTCAGAATTTTCAGCATTCTGAGGCTCAGAGCTCCGTAGTTATCACGCCCTGCCTAGCTGATATTCAGAAGAAAAAAAAAGAAAAGAAAAGGTAGGCCACACTGATGGCATCTCCAGTTCACCTCCTTGCCAACCTTACGTTCCCCCTTGAGGATGTCTCGTCTTTTCCATCCGGTCTGAGAGGGTCCTACTGCTCATGCTCAGTGCTCGGCGCACCGCCGCTTCGTTTGTGCATGTTGTCTGCAACCTTCCATCCGCCCTCGACCTTTGACCTTTGACCCCATCACCCCCTTCCCCGCTCCCTGAGGTTGGGAGTCCTCCCTTGTGTTCCTCTGGATGTCATGGGTCCCTGTTTCTGTGTCCCATCATGCATTTCTGAAACCCCTCCACACCTCACCTGTGTGTGTCATGAGCACACTTGAGTGTGTGTGTGTGTGTGTGTGTGTGTGTGTGTGCACGCAAACGGTTTGTGTAGTGAAGTATGTGTGTGTGTGTGTGTGTGTGTGTCATGTGACTGGATTCCTGCTTGCACATTGTACCGCCTCTCTTTGACCTGAAAGATTTTTTTTTTTGTCTTTTCGGTTTTCTTTTCATCTAAATGATCAAAGAGCGCCCATGATTACCCAGTGTGCACCTCTTCAGGCTACAGCACAGTCACATGTCATGACGTCACTTCAGTCAGAGATGTATGGAATCGCTAAATGTGTTTCACTTTTTTTCTTCTGCCTAGTTTTTCATGCTCCTTCACTTTGTTTCTTTCTTTTTTGTTATTGCTCTTCATTACAAACCATTATTTTAATTAATTAGCTCACATTTACCTTTCATAAGTTGGGTGAAGTTAATGGTTTTGCTCCAAAACAGCATCTTATTTATTATTATTATTATTATTATTAAATACTCTAAAAAAATTAATATTTTTTAATGTATAATTTAAATAATACAAATAAAAATGTTTTATTATTATTATTATTATTATAAAATAACAAGAAGAATAAAATATAAATAATAATGGAATGAAAAAATTTGAATAATAATAATAATTTATTATAACAATATTATTATAATTATTATGTTATATTATTATTATTGTTATTGTTATTATTAAATACTTAGCCCTTTATTTTACAGTACATGTAGTATTATTGCAATAGTATCAATAGTATGACATAGTATCAAATAATAACATTATAATAATAATAACATAATATAATAAATAAAAATAATGATTATCAATAATAATAATAAATAGTAGGTAAGAAAATAATAATAAAATAAAATATTTTTGAATAATAATAGTTATATTATAAAATAATAACATAATATTAGCATTTAAATAATAATAAATGTAATTAATAAAAAATCATGAATAATATGATAAGAAAAATAAGAAATGTTATATTATTAAGAATGATGATATTTTTATTTGTAAAAATATCATATTTTTATATTATTACATCATCAGTTTTTTTATTTCAAAATGATTGAAATAGTAATATATTAAAATAATAATACATTTAAATAATTACAATATTTTTCGAATAATAATAATTAATTTTAATATTGAATGTGAGGCATGTTTTCCTTCTTTTTTGTTCTTAGCTGATCACATGCCTGGCTAATGCCAAGATACAACCGCTAAGATGTGATCTTAAGACAGTAAACAGTTAAGAAAGATTTTGTTACTGTACAAAGCTGTTAGGATGGAAAGCATAATTTAAAACATGTTATTATTTAACAAAGAAGAACATAAAAAAATATGGTGTAATGTTTGTAGCCTTTTTCATCAAATACCTTTTACATAAAATAATCCATTTAAGTCTGGCATAATAGCACCCATTAGCATGATAGAAGATAGATAGATGGGAGGTCTTTGGCTCTGTGAAGGCTGTTAGCAGCCATTTTGGCTCTGATTTCATTTACAGTAGCAAGCCATCCACCATTAAAGTCCATTTAAAGCCCATTAAAATGGAAACATGAATCTCTGAGTATGTTTTCATAAATGCTTGATGCCTGAGGCAAGACTGAAAATGGCAAACAGAGACATATAATGAGAAAAACACTTCCTGATGCAGTCTACTTGCTCATAGTTTACAGTTCATTCATTGAATCCATGTTTTTAATGCATATTTTCTGTATTTCTGTTTCACAACCAAGGTGAGGATTCACATTTCATCCATTCAAAGCCTGCTGCCTCTCTTCATTGTGGTGAAACTGTTATTTCTTTTATATTTCTCCTCAGAGCATCAGAAAAGACAGTTTTAAGCTGATTGTGTCTTGCGTAACAGAAGTCTTCAGAGCGGCTTGTCAACAATCCTCAAGTGGCATTCCTATTATAATCTGGAGCCAATGCAAATGGGATCAAACAAGAATCCTGTTTCACAGCGCACTATAGAGAGTGTAAGCATTTCTGCTCACAAGAGTCGAACAGTGAGTAAGTAGTTCACTGTTGCTTCATAAAAGATTGAAATGCTAAATAGTGCATTTTCAGTGAGTTTTAGTACACTACGCATGGCACAAATAGGCCTGTTTATGCTTCAAACCAGTGATTCTTAATCTGGTGGCCTAAGCACTGTGTCATAGGGGTCACAAAAATACTTAAAATTATTGTGATTCTCAATTCCAGTCCTGGGGGCCCCCTGCTCCACACATTCTGCATGTCTCCCTTATTTAACACACCTGATTGAGATCATCAGCTCGTTAGTTCAGTTCATGGATCTCTTTCCTAACGAGCTGATGATCTCCATCAGGTGTGTTAAATACGTGCAGAGCAGGGGCCCCCAGGACTGGAATTGAAAACCACTGCTTTAAAATAAGCGAAAAATCAAGGCTTATTTTAATTAATTCCTTCTACAATTTTTATGTAAGAACCACACTTTCCATGCACAATCTTGGAAAACCTGAATATATGAGTGAATATTAAAAATGTGATTTTTCGACATTACAAATTCATAAATGTTAAAAATAAATGAATACTTTTTTAAAAACAAGAAATAGGCCTATGTTTTTGTTTGTTTGTTTGTTTGTTTTTTTAGTTAGTTATGTTAAGATCAAAAAATGTTTTTTAGGTTGAAATTGCAATTTGTTAGTATTTTTTATTTATTTATTTTAAGCACCAAAATATTTTATAAATATAATTAAATACAAATATTTCTTAAAATCTGTAATCAGAAGTGACTAAAATTACTACAAAAATCATGTAAATTCATTGGTAATAAAAAGTATAAACCCTGAAGAACATTCAGTTATTGAAACTGAGAGTTACTTCTGCAGCTACAAAAAAAGTATTTATTTTCATTAAATATAATTGTAACATTTATATTGGATAAATATTTAAGTATTTAATAACAACAGCAAAAGTTTTTATTAAGCAGCTTTGTCATTACAGCAGAAGTACCAGAAATATATTAAACCCTGACAATGAGCGGACTCTAATATAGAATATACATGCAATATAAATAAAGAAAATACCTTCTTTTTAAAAAAAGATTTTTTGCCTTTATTACAATAGGACAGTGTAGAGGAGACAAGAAGCGAAGTGGAGAGAGAGAGAGAGAGAGAGAGGGAGAGGGGGATGGGACCGGGAAAAGTCCTCGAGCCGGGATTTGAACTCGGGACGTTCGAAACGCAACGGTGTTACATATCAACACACTGCCCATAGGTTATCAGCACCAACTAAAGAAAATATCTAAACTGAGTCTTAGCGGATTCATGTTTGATTCTATTAGGTTTGGTTCCGAGTTGTGACAGAAATCCACTGGCGTTTCTTCAGGATTGTTTGACCAGACTGCAGAGACGAGAGCGTTGAGGATCTTCAGTTAGGTTCTCCATGCTGGAAGCTCATCTCAGGTTGCTCCTGCAGTGTGTGTGCGGTGCGCGTGTGTTCAGAGGGCACGTGTCTGACTCTGTGTTCTGGCAGGTATCTGGAACGCTCCGAAGGCTCTTTAGAGTTCAACTCCACTTCCTGCAAGGAGCTACGGCAAGAAATCACAGATGTGAAAGTACTGACCATGTAAGTTTCTCTCTCGGATGTCTGTCCGTGTCCGTACAGAGCGAGCGTTCCAGCGGGAGTCACATTTCCTGATGAATGTCTCGTCTCGAAGGACAAACCCTGTGAAAAGAGCATCTATTTAAAGAAATACAATATCTGAGCAAGAGCACCCTCTCCTTTCCACTCCATGGCGTTTCATAAGGAAAGCTACTTGTAGCTGGGACTGCTGCTGTTTTTCTCTTATTTAATTGACTTTATGTGTGCGTGTGTGTTTTAGGGTGAAGACATCAGAGCTGTTCGAGCGATGGAGGAACCTGCAGGTGTGTAAGTGGGAGCAAAACAAGGAGGAGACAGATAACTTCAAGTGAGTACATGACCATTTTTATCTTTTATCTCCCAACTTCAGCACAATCTTAATGGGATTCCTTCGTTGAAACAAAGGAATGATGTCATCTCCAATAGGATTCTTTTGTGGTAACGAAGCGATGATGTCATCTCTCCCCCTGTCCAATAGAATGTCTCTGTCCCGTTGCTGCAATGCCCCCTCCTTCCTGTTTACCACTAAGAGAAACACTCCCTCGGGCACCAAACTGCGTTATGAGGTGGATACGAGTGGAATCTTGCACATCAGCCCGGAGATCTTTAAAATGTTCCCTGATGTGAGTGTGAAATCACA